TATTATAATACATATTATTTAAAAGTTGGAAGTTTTTTTCGCTCGTTCTTCTTGTCATCTAAAAAACGTCCCGAACGAGGGGGAGGGGAAAATTTTTTGTGGACGATTTAAAAGTGCTCGAAACGAGCTCACTCGGACGAAGACAATTTCATTTTATTTCATAGTAATTTTATAATTTCGATTAAAAAATATAAACAATCGTTCACTGTGGTATTCGTCTCCTACATTAATCACAAACGACTCCGGGGCGGCCCGCAGGACGAGTCGTACGTCGAGTGCTCGATCTGCGGGGAGGTGAACGACGACGAGGGCGAGGAGCGGAGGAGCGCCGACGACGTGCGCGGGCCGCAGCCCGCCGGCAGCATGGCGTGGGCCCGCCGGCCCGCCGGCCTGCCCGCCTTCCCGCGCCACGGCACCATCCTGGTCACGTACCGGTTCCGGGCGGGCGTGCAGAGCGCGGGCCACCCGTGCCCGGGCGCGGCCTACTACGCGGTGGGCTTCCCGCGCCACGCGCTGCTGCCCGACAACGCGCTGGGCCGCGAGGTGCGTCTCGGGGTCCGGGGCCCGGGGCCCGGGGTACGGGGCGCGGGTGCCCTAGCGTGACCTCCTCGCCTGTGCAGGTGCTGGCGCTGCTGCGCGCGTGCTGGCAGGCGGGCGCGCTGTTCGGCGTGAGCGCGTCGCGCACCACCGGGCGCGAGCACGTGGTGACCCCCCGCGCCCGGCCCGCGCCCCCCGCGCGCGCCCCGCACTACCCGCGCGCGCCCGCGCCCGCCGCCGCGCGCCTGCGCGCCGCCGCCCAAGCGCTGCGGGCGCTGCTGCCCGCGCCCTCGCCCCAGCCCGCGCCCGCGCCCGCGCCAGCGGAACTCTAGTGTGAGTAGTTTAAAAATGTAGGGCGACGCCTCCGTCAAGTCTTCCGAGAAGTCGTTTATCCTTAAATGTTTAATCGAGATAATATTTTTACACAGTAGGTTGGGGAAAAAGCTTCTTCGCATTTTGTATGAACATTAAAAAAAAAAAATTAGTAAAGTTTATTTACATCTCACTAAAACATCTATGTCCGTCCCGTTTTGTTCGATAACTTTTTGCCATCGTGTAGGTAGGGACGCGGTCCCACCGTTGCTATAGAAATTTTGAGGCTTCCGATCGAAAACCCGCGACGAGCGGTATCGACTAGATCCTGCCTAAAGAATTTTGAAGAGACCTAATCAGGGGGAAGTCTGAGGGTGCAGAGTCCGAACACACTGGGAATACATTAACACCTCCCAGCGAAACTCTCAATTTTTGCCGAGTGGCTAAAGATGGGTGAAGTCTCCGACGTTATCATGATGAAAATCCCCACCCCTTCTATTGGTTAATTCTGCTCGCTCTCAAATTCTTGCTTTAATCCCGTCAGTTGTTCGCAGTAGATTTCAGAATCGCTGATGCTGTCTGGCGGCAAAGAGATTTTCGAATGTGCCGAAACTGTCTTGTGGCCGATCTCCAGTTTTTCAGCTACGTCATACACGCCGATATGCCGAACGTACTCCAATTTTTCATAATTGCCATTCATTTTATCCGTAACAGTTCGACCGAAAGACGTGTATCTTTGAACGATACCGAAACCAGCAAGATACAAATGGTATAACCAAAAAGATTTCATTGCAAGTTTATGCGCACTATGTATATGCGAAGACTATTCCCCGACCTAATTGAGAATGAGAATAGACTGATGTTTGTCGTAAACGACAAGTATATTTACATTAAGTAGTAAGGATGCTTTATAGGACAGTAGAACCCAACAAATATGGCCCGCCATAATTTTACGATTCTGATATATTTCAAACGTATGATTAAAATTTACAATCAACATTATAATAATCGTAAGGTTCAAAATACATCGCCCTAGAGGGTCCAGCTTCGGCCACAGCCGCGCCACGTTATACTCCTTTTGTCCGTCATTTAGTCTTCTGCGCGGAAATGCGTACACACAATATGTCGAACTTTCGCGTGCGACTATGTACTCTAATCACAGCGTATTAAGGTTTAAAATCGAGTGAAAGAAATTGACAGTTTTATATTATAAAACCTGGCATCGGTGAGCCATATTAGCTGAGTTCTAATGTAATCTTCGTAGTTAATCAAATCTATAAAATATACACATACGTTATATCTAAAGTTATGATAATATGATATTAATATTATTATTATTATGTTAAAAATGGTCTGCGTAAATCAGTATTGAATTTATTTTACATAGGTTTTTCTTTAGTATTTAGTATCTTGCCAGTAAGTGCCTTAGTTTATCTAATTTTAAGATTATTTTATTGTAAATAAAATATTGTAGCAACAGTTGCCATCGACGAGTCTTCCCAAATGTCAACGACACTTCCAATATTTAGCTTTACTTGAAATAAATGTTGCCAGTTATGAATATAAGTATCGATGAGGATTTTATTACAGTGTTAAGCAACATAAAGTTATTTAAGTAAATAAATTATATACAGAAAATGAATGTTTTTTACTTACCTACTTCCAAACGGTGCCTACATCACACAAACAAACGTCAATGTGTCTACCGTCATGTTCTGAGAAAATAAGCCCGAGTGCCCAGTTTAAGTTCCACTAACTTAAACTACTCACTTTACTACCGCGTCAATAGAGTGAACGCCAAACGGATCGAACGGTGAAAACATGCGAGTTTGAGTTGATACATGTGTAGGGCAATTTAAATTCGCAATCGTCATCAGTCTATTATTTTCCCAACGAGGAAGTATTAAAAAAGAATAACCTTAGTTTCCGAAGTCAAACTAGATGTCGCTACGGTACTTTCTTGACAACCCATTCGGTTTTCTTTCATGTATAAAAGTAAATTAATATTCAAAACTCAATAAACAACTCATATTCTATTTGTACTTTTTCGTATTTGTATTGATATCTAAGTTTCGAACTTGACAAATTTTGGTTTTTTAATATGTTAGTTAAAAGGAACGGATATGAGTATCTTTGGTCCATTCGTTTCTTGCGAGAATCAACTCTTGGTAGAGTCGCCATCAAGTGGAGGTACTTTTTATCAAATCAAACATTTCTAAACATATGTAAGTTGTAAATTTAGTTCTCACTTCATAAATTCAAGTGAAAAGTTTTCACTTGCGTTTGCGTAAAATTCACCGAAGTTCGTGAAACCCTACGACTCATGCTCGCGATTTTCACTGGTGAATGTGTTTAAAACTCAATCTCGCAAATATGTTTCAGCCAATGTGTCACTAGATGGCGCTTTTTAGTTTCCGTGGAAATTCTAAACGCGCTCGCTATAGAGCGTGAAATGTAAACGTCAAATAAAACATGAAAGTGAGCACTATAATTTAAAGTTTTGTGCCACAAAAACTGAATCAAGGGGAGCTATTTGAAAACTATTCTAAAATTACCTTTTCAATGCAGTTGCTCATAAAACGCTATTTTTTTAATCCATTGTAAACACCGAAAGTGTGTCTTTAAGCACATGTTAAATAAAAATGTACTGAAATCCTTTACTGCACACGTGCTTAAAAGTATTTTTTTTAATTTTTTTTGGCCGAGCACCAAAGAAATTTAAAAAAAAATTATGAAAATATGTCAAACTTTAGAGGCAAAAGTATTTCAAGGAGTCTAGAACGAATATTAAAAAAAAAAAACGTATGACACGAAAACATGTTCAAATATGACGTTAAATTTTAACTAATAATTTTTACCTTTAATTCATACTTAGTTTTTTTAACCTATATATTTATTTTATTTCCTCGCAAAAAGCATTGAAAAATTTTATAAGAAACTTGAGCGTAAAAGGTTTTTCGAATTCGTGCCAATGAATCAATTTGGCCCTTATTCGTAAAACCTTACTTTCCGCACTCGTATCTTAAATAACTATTTAGTTAAAACTAGGAGAATTATACGTATAATGTTACAATATGATATCAAATGCAATAAAATAATACTTTATTCAAATTATCATTGAAAGTACATAATTACTTTTGAATCGAGCTTATTTATATTAAAATTATCAACTCTTTCCCTTATGTAATATTTACATAGAAGTTTCTATGAAATATTGTTTTGCTAAGCGATTCTCTAGAATATTATATGACGCGGGCCACTTTTGTAATGTAATCATATCATAGGCTTCATACATTATTTTAATCCTCTGAGCTAAGTCTAAATAAATGTACACACGGCACGCGTGCACGTCAGGTTGCTACTGTGTCAAATTACCGCAAGTGATTTTGTATCCTACTTACTATATTATGTTATGGTGTAAAATCTACTGGATCAATTTGATAGTTTTCTCTAGTGACGTGCTGTTGACAGTACATTCCGCATACGGAGACCGCCGCAGTGACGTACTCTGACGCACTCTCGGTATTGTTGACACGCGCATTGCATCAACTGGTACTGATGGTCCACCTCAGCCTATTATAAGCGATGGGGAAGAGACCAACAGCTGTCATGTGGGACTCCTACCTTCTAGTGACAGGCCACTTTCTTTTTAACCCCCGACCCAAAAACGACGTGTCTGTCAGTGGCATCATAGCTCCCGAACGGATGAACCAATCTTTTTTTCTTTTTAAAGGGTTTCACGTTTATCCCTTATCATTAAGTTGTAGTTTTTTATATTTGTTTTTAAGCTTTTTACTTCATTTTTTTATATCAAGTATTCAACTTGTGTATGTACCTACATTACTTTTTTAGGCAATAAATGAATAGTTTTTCATCAAAACAAGATAGTATTATTTGGTTTAATTAAATCCAAAACCAACATTTTCACACGGCATATTATATTGTGTTATCTTGAACTAACTAATATGAACTTGCAAATTTCCAAGTCGGCGTCGTTTCAACAAGAACCTCTATTTCGGTACACATAAAAATCAATATCAATTGATCGTTTTGGATCATACGTAAATTGGAGTAATTTATGTTTATTTATGTTAAGTGATTACATTACATTATAAAACTAACGAAACGCACACGAGGAACCCACACGTACTATTGTAGCCATTCCCACACCATGGCTGACGGAAACGGGACAACAGAGCGGCGACGTAAAGTCGAGGAGGTCTTCAACGAGAAACAGTTGTATCATGTCGTGAACAAATATGTCGATGATGAAAGTTGGCGACTTATTGGCAGCGAAGTGGCGCCCGCTTCTGAAACAATGGCGGGTTTTTTATCGGACCACTTGAAAATAACATTGCACGTGGAAGTAAAAGGGCGACAGGAAGATATACGCTTGTTCGTCAAACGTGTGCCCAGTGATAATTTACCAAAAGCAGAGTTCGTTGAGATGAAAAATTTTTTCAAGAAAGAAATGGCAATGTTTCAAATGTTCGAGGAAATGCATACTACGGAAGGTAAGGGTGCAATTGTTTCTATTTTATAAGTTTAATGTGATTTTAATAGTAAATAAAATGTTATCATAAATTTTGACCATTTCTCTCGTCATGTCACGTGTTCGACTCCGCTCGGTGAGTCTCATTATTTCAACGAACTTGCATTTCCAACAAGGATGATGCGTTACCTATAGGAACTAATGAAGTGGGTAGTTTTATTTGTAGGCACTGCTAGTGTTGTATTATATTATTTACTTGACGATAAATTAACCTTAATAACGTTCCGAACACACTATAAAGTCATGCATTTTGATTATTGTTTCGTAATACCAACTATTTTATAATTATATAATATAATTATATAATTATTCGTAATAACACGATTTATTATTATAAGTACTCGAGTTTACATTTAGTAATATTGCAACTATATATTAATACTTGAATCTTGTACTTAAAAATGCACTTTGCTCCGAGATGGGACTCGAACCCGCGACGATGTTTGGGCGGATTGCCTGAACGTTGATAAAAATACGCTCATTAGTAGCCAATAAGAAAAAACTGCTTGAAAGATACGTCAGACCTGTAAGGTCCTGGGTAGCTCAGAGGTAGAGCAGTCGCCCGTATTATGTCACAATATGTAACAATATAAGCCCGTATTATGTCGTGGGTTCATTGTGAATGGGTGGGTTCATTGTCAAAATTTATTAAATATAATGTAAAGTATATAGGTAACTTATATTTTAAGTGACTAAAGATCTCAGTACGTATGATATTACATTATCATTTATGGTATATTTATATTTATCCACAGATCGTCCTTGTTTTGTTAAGGCACTGTATTACAATGACAAAATGATAGTGATGCGTGACTTGAGCGTCGATGGTTATTCCATACGACCAAAACTGGTGTGTATGGATCTGCCGCATCTGCGTCTAGCCGCCGCATCGATCGCTAAGTTCCACGCTGCCTTCGTCAACTATGAAACGACGAAGGCCATTCAAAAATCTTACAATTTTCTAGACCAATACGGCGACGTCGTGACCGAGACAGTGTACTTAGATTCACCCTGGCTCCGAACCGGGGCCAAGCTCATAGCGAACGTCCTTAAAATCTTTTCTGATAAACACAAAAATCTAGTTCAAGACTTGGAAGACAAGATTAGCGATTTGTTCATAAAAGCTTGCGACAGTTTCACCGAATACAAAGACACAGTAAACGTGGCCAACCACAAGGACTTGTGGAATAATAACATAATGTTTTGTTACGAGAACGGTGCGCCGGTGAACGCGATACTGGTCGACTATCAATGTATCTGTTACGGGCCCCCCGCTTACGACGTTATGCAATTCATGTATTTCAACACAAGGAGAGAATTCAGGAAGCAACACGATGACGATATTCTGCACCATTATTATACGGTGTTCATGGAATCATTGGATGAGGCCGCCGAGCGTAAAGTTAAAACGTTAAACTATGATAAACGACAGTTTCTGGAATGGTGTGAGAGAGCACGGATGTTTGGGATGGTTGCGGCCCTTTCTCTATTTCCGTTTGTGCTAATGGATCCACTTGTATCTCAGAAGACTTACGATGACCCGGCGACATATGAGAAGTACATGAGCGAGGATCGCACGGAGCCAGTGGTGGCCCACGCTAACGAGAGCCCGATATTTAAGGTGAGACTGGTGGAACTGGCAGAGGAATTTTTCGAAAGGTATATTGTTGATCAACCATGAAGTATAAAGTAGGTACACGGTGATTTAATTTAATTAATAGATCCCACAAGACCGTCATTAAGAAGATAAAACTCTTTATTTTCATACTATTTAAATAATCATAGAAAATACTATTTACATCTACAATTAGCAGTTTGTTATCTATGACGTGTTATGATATTTCCTCCATAAGACTATTAAATAAACCAGCTCAATGTAAATAAAACGTATTTTGTGATCATTTCAAGATATTACAGTTGAAAGGCGATAAAATGTTTTGATTGAAGCTTCGACCTGTCATGTTCCTATTACCTTCCACCAAGGACTTCTATAGTATAACATAATATACTACCTATACTAGCACAATAACAAAATATTTACTAAGATATGATCAGTTTAGGCATGTTATAAAAATATACGACACACTGTGAAAAATAGATATCAGACATAAAACTTGAATTGTAGGATTTGCAATAGTAATGTATAAGTACAACGTACAACAAGTCGGCCGTTTTAGGGTTCGAATCCGGACCCTGTACGATGTGTGTGTCTAAGCCCGCATGCCTACCTTCTAGCACCTCTTCATTTTTTTATAATTATACCAATGTGTTTGGTACCTACATTCGCTGCTGTCGAACATATTAATCAAGATCCAGTTCATCTAACTAAACGGCTGAAATAATATCTAATTTATCATATTTGACATTTCCTACACTGATATTTTTCTAACAGAAATACACATAAAACATTCAAGTATCCCAGATATCCTAGACGGAGTTGGATGAAATACACTTATATAAGACTAGCTTTTGCCCGTGACTTCGCCCGCGTGGTATTGTTACTTTGGGCAGCGTTTCCAAAAACACTTAAATAAATATTTATTTACTTTATCATGTAAAATACATGAATATAAAGATTAAACACTTTAATCACAATAAAAATAAACATCACAATTCACGACTTCTATACTCACAGTCATTTTTTTTTTCAAGTTTAATTGTAAAGATTTTGTTTGAACTATATAGCGTAGCCAACTGTATAAAACGTCCGTCCAATTAGATGGCTAGCCCTATAATATAATAGCGCCATTCATTTGCACGATAACCACACCCTCCTTCTGTGCGACTGCAGAAAGCTCAGGGAACTGGTTAACTGTAAAGGATCACGTTGCATCATTATCGTCAGGCCTTCCTATTGGATGGTTAAGGAGGATAGGCCGTGACCCTCCACGCTGGCCCAATAAAGATTGGAGGGTATTGGAGGAAATGAAATGAAATGAAAATATCTTTATTCAAGTAGGCTATTACAAGCACTTTTGAATCGTCCAAAAAAAATTTTTTCCCCTACCACTTGTCCAGGACGTCTTTTAGCTGACAAGAAGAACAAGCAAAAGAAACTTACCTAACATGCCTTCCTAAGCACGGAGTAGCTCGAGATAATTTTTTTTGTCATCCATCCCGTGGCCGACCCTAGCGAAAGTTACTTAACAACAACGACCGCGGTCGCCACCGATCACGATACGAAAGAAAATTATTAATTTTATGTATTAAAATTACATTGATGTTCAACTTTGAAGACACTACAATCAAAAACCAATAATTTATTTATTTAAGGTACAGCAACAGCTATATATGTAATTACTTCTTTTTTTTATATGGGAACGATAGCCGATAACTGGTTCACACAACATTATTTAAAAATTATGTTAAGGTTAAGTGTTAAGATAGAGCAAGAAAATAATAAAAAGTTCATTAGGACACATCGTCTTAAACTACTCAAATACCAATTTTCATAGAAATAGATCCGAAAACAAAGAAGTTTCATACAAACGTTTACACCCTTTTAACCTCCTTGGGGGTGGAATTTACAAGAATCGGTTCTTAGTACACCTCTACGTAATAAGAGGAATGTCCCCTCCAAACGCTGCTCGAACGGTTTAGCCTGTGCGTTGTCTCTCAGTATGTTAGGACACCTGCTTTTATATATGTATTCTATTAATATCGATGTGGATTCGAGATTTCTCAAACATGATAGACATTTGTTCAAATAATTTTCAGATATAAAAGACTCGATGCAGTAATTCACCACAATCGCTTTTAATAAGTGGTTTTTGTTAAGCCGTCAAAGTCTATCCTTCTGCAACATATTAAAGACGGCGTCCTCTGTGAGTGATGCAACCAGATACAAGGGTCTGCCATATGGCGGACCACATGCCTCCCAAGTATGGAGTTACTGTGCCACTTGCTCGGTCACGACACAACCATATACAGATTGAAAAACAACCATTTGCCAAGCTCTATAACGTTCGTTACACATCTCGTAATATGTCTGTAATAGACTCGTAACAATTATAACATTCGGCTCCACATTCGGCTCATTGGCCGAAAAGTCCTATCAACAACTTTTGTTGATAGATTATGTAACAATAGATACATACTCATACTCTTTCATAACTTAAATCTATTTTAAAGGATAAATACACATTTTAGTTTTGTATTCTTTGCACTTTGGTCAAATACTATACCTATCGGTATTCGGCCGCGTAGGTACAATAAAAATAGCTTAAAATGCCGAATACCGAATAATATAGCCGAATATTTGTTCCAGGCCTAATCTATTAGACTTGTTATTTATTCAATTTGTGAACCTATTTGGTGTCTGTTAGAAAGTATCTAACAGATTAAAATTGATTTATCAAGATTGAAGCTAGCAGGATACGTGTTGATTTGGCGAAAGGATTAGCGCGGTCTTTGCCAAATAAAGCCTCAACAATTTGACATTGATCACGTTGAGTTTGTTTATTAACAAACTTATATGAATGTAATTAAGGATAACGAACATATCGGGCATTAATATGAAAGTTTAAAACGCACATTATTTATAATTCATTAGACGGAGAAACCTCAAGGTTCACTTTAACAAGTAGATATATGCATAGCTACATTAACCCATCCCACAAAAAGTTTATCTAGTGCTTTAAAATTTGTTTCTATAATTTCATTAAAAAAATGAACATGAACTTGTTATCGATTCGTAGTAATAAGTAGTCCGTTCCCAACCGTTAACCAACCATCACTTCAACTTTAACCAAAGTGCCCGTCTCATACAACACTTAAAGAAAGCCTATTTAATAATCTTCATTGTCAGTGATACCTATGTAAGTTATGCGCATAATACTGTATTGTGAAGGTGGACAGGTCTCCAGGAGCTGACGCAGCCGCCCGTGACCCGACCCGTCGTCCCTCCGTGATGTACCCACGTCATACGCACCGTCCGCTGCTCACGACTTTACTTCCAAAAACAATATCAACGCTGGAAAGCAAACACGTAGTAATCCGCAAAACCAAAATTGTTCTTTAGCGCAGAAAAACTTTTATTTTTTCCGATAAATAATTACTATAAACATCGATGGTAACAAATAAGGTGTTCCTTAGTCAATTAATACGGAAAGAAGATCTTTTTTCTTGGAAAAATATAAAGATTATCCACTCTAAATATCCAATTTGGTTTTGCAGGTTACTACGTGTTTGCTTTCCAGCGTCGATATGTTTCTATTGCCGGTATACATACAGATACCTATTAAAAGATGAATAAAATAAATATGTAATGGGCTTAGAAAAAACATGTTATTTTTGCGTTTTTTATAGGAAATGGCACGGAACCCTTCGTGCACAAGTCCAACTGTTTTTTTCTACTTGTAATATAATGGCGTTGAATCTGAAGCAGCAGTTACATTTAATCCACCTCCTCCCCTCGTGTTAAATAAACCATACTTTAGTCAGTCTGTGCTTTAGTATTGCGGGAAAACTGGTCCGTTGCACCAACGCATGGGGCGTTGGTTAAATGTATGAAAAATTGTACCAACTCGACTGTGGCGCTGGGCGGCGCAGGCCAGGGGGCCAATTCTACTAAATAAATTTTGTTTAAATCGAATCGAAAACGGATTTAAATCGAACGAAACTACAGTTTTCAATGGTTTTTCTATTCTAATAAGTGACATATGATACAATTCCAGCTAAAATAGAACCAGAATTGTATCGTATGTCACTTTGTAGAATAGGAATACCATTAAAAACTGTAGTTTCGTTCGGTTTCGATTCGTTTTCGATTCGATTTAAACAAAATTTACTTAGTAGAATTGGCCCCCAGGAAATAACTGGCGCCTTATCATTGTATTATTCTCTTATCTAATCATACCATTAAATTGACAAATATGAAAGTGCAAACAATACGGCGGGTAGTAAAAATATTTAACTTATATTTAAAGCAAATATGTATAGAATCCAATAGTGGCACTTACTGCTTTTACTTATCAGAAACAACTACATGAATATTTAATCAATAAAATGTATTATAATATTAAAGAGTTCTTAAAGGATAAAATTGGTAATTAAATTTAGATGACATTTAATTTGACATTTGTCATGATAATTCATAAACACAATATTTATGGTCGAATGGTTAATTATTAAATATTGACATGATCTATACTGTAACGTTAAATTTCTGTATTTCATGTTATGACCATTTAAAAAATTATTTGCGCACTGTTCATATACTGTAGAATGTGAGAAACTATTGTTAATAACTATGTAATATCATTTCCACCATGTTCTTGCAAATAAACAATAGGGATGATGACTAATTTTCGTTTGTTTGTTCGTCAGGTAGAGTGTTAAAAAATATTAAACAGGTATTTTTTATTTTTTTTTCGTAATCCTAAAATTACGGCGTTACATTGAGTTGAAATTTCGCATGACGTCACGTTAGAGTACGTTTTCTACTCAACTGTGACGTAGCGAGCCCCCACTCCTCAACTTTAATGCCGGTTATCTAAGCTATTTCTTGTTAAATTGAAGTAAAAAAAAATACGTATCTAATATTTTTCTATTATCTGACTGACGGACTAAATAGAATTGCATTTTTTTTACCCAGTCATCATCCCTATTATTATTATAAGCGCTACCTACATTCTTTAATTATTTAATATTCGTATCGACACCCTCAACGTTTCAGGTAACT